CGACCAAGACACGTATCTAGGTTTATATATAGAAATATAATTTGCATGTTTAAAAAAGGTTTATTTCTCAAAAATTATCTTTTAAGTAATATATTTTGAACGTTATTTTCAATACTGTAATATTAGTAAATATTACTCTTTGTCGGCATCAAAATATTTTGTTGCATGTTAATAAAACCATTCCTGGTAAACGTTTATGGCTCTATGTAAACACTATTTCCGATGTTCAAACTGCGTTTAAAGCTCCTTTTTTACTATTTTTGCCCTATATTTTAAATTACAACAAGTCAACTTATTAATTTTAATATATTTATTTATAATGGAGGTTTCAAAATTCATTTGCAAGTTAATTATTATCTTAAGAAATGAAGGTAAATGATTAAAAGTAATATTGATAAGAAATCTTATACTTCTTCTTCATAGAAGATCTGTCGATCTGTTAATTCTGAAGTTGTTGCCTTTGAACTATTTCCTGCGCCAGCTATCTCCCGTGAATTTACAAACACGATTTTCGGCAGTCTGTTGGCCCACGTGGTTATGCCATTGTCCCTTCCGCTGTCTTCCCCATCTCACTAATATCTGCAACGTTGCATTGATCTCTAATATTCGACTTTCTCATTCTGTCCATTCTTGTTTTTTTCCACTATTGATCGATTACTATTCCATATGTCATTATCGGTCTTATACACGTCTTATATCCCAACTGTATGTCTTAAATAGCGCAACAGCCCAAATTAAGCCTTGGCTCCATACTTCGCCTCCAACCGTCTCGGTCTCCGGCCACTCTCTTCCAGCTTTTCATCCCGAGAATCTCCTGAGCGTCCCTGATCACGTTATCTTCCCATCCTGCTTTTGCTCTACCAGTCCTGCGTTTTCCTCTTGGTTGTCTCAGAAACACTTTCATTGCGGCACGTCTCTCTGACATGGCAGTTATTTTATGTGTGTTGTGAGGGGGGGCTTTTTGTTCGTACCTATGTACGGATAAGAGTTTTATATATGGGAAATTTNAAATTAAAAAAGTTTTTTGCCTCTACTGAACAATTTACATATTGTTACTTATCCCATTCTTGCACCAAGCTCTTCGATTGTGACGCTTTGATGGAAAGTGGTAAGGTAGTTGAAGCGCGTACCGAGTGATGGTAAAGAGCATGGATTAGGGGGAGGAGGAGGGGGATTACTAATTGTAAGTTAAATATGTAATGTAGCTATTGTATTTTAAAAATTATATATTGAAAGTGACAAACGATATATAATATATAAACTAAACTCAGTCAGAGAATTAACAATAAATTTAAAATATTTCTAGCGAGATTATCTCCGAATTAACTAGATTAAACCAAAAACTTAATTTTTGTGAACTTTGACTTTCACGTGAAGCAAATCTTTTTTGATATCCGAGAAATTACGCGTTAAAATTCATTAAGCGCATGTGGATTTATTGAACAAACAAATCAAGGCTCCGAATGGATTAATTGAAGGTGATTTTAAGTTAATACTATTTCTTTTTAATATTTTTTTGAGTCAACCTACAATAAACAAAAAGTGATAAGACAAAAAAATTGTGATAACAAAGAAAATGTGGAACTGAGTTATTTTTAAACATAACGTTTCAACTAACCAAGGATAAAGAAAAATAAATCATAAAGTTGTTTTATTTATTAGAGAAAAGTTGTAATTAACAATTTCTTTTAATAATACGTTTTCCTCGTGTTCGATACAACAATGAACTTAACCTTGAATATCCTCGACATTAAAATACGAATTTTAAATGAAACAACTTTATTTAAAAATCGGTTCCAACAATTTCGGTGAATAAACCATAAAAGCATATATGTATTCATATTTTTTTTAATGTTAACAAGGTCAAATCTCTCGAAATACTCGTCGATGAACCACGAAAATAATATTGGCCCAACGAACGATAATTAAACATATTTCTAAGAGACATTTATTAAGATCAATTACGTCAGATACAAAATTTTTTGCAGCCTGTTTTGGATCGGTTACAAAGCTTTTATTTTGGATCTAGAAATATTTATATTTAAAAAAATAAAGTTTTCACAAAAAAATGTGCGCAGCAAAAAAAAAATGCGTGACTTTCGACCAAGACACGTATCTAGGTTTATATATAGAAATATAATTTGCATGTTTAAAAAAGGTTTATTTCTCAAAAATTATCTTTTAAGTAATATATTTTGAACGTTACTTTCAATACTGTAATATTAGTAAACATTACTCTTCGTCGGCATCAAAATATTTTGTTGCATGTTAATAAAACCATTCCTGGTAAACGTTTATGGCTCTATGTAAACACTATTTCCGATGTTTAAACTGCGTTTAAAGCTCCTTTTTTACTATTTTTGCCCTATATTTTAAATTACGACAAGTCAACTTAGTAATTTTATATACATATTTATTTATAATGGAGGTTTCAAAATTCATTTGCAAGTTAATTATTATCTTAAGAAATGAAGGTAAATGATTAAAAGTAATATTGATAAGAAATCTTATACTTCTTCTTCATAGAAGATCTGTCGATCTGTTAATTCTGAAGTTGTTGCCTTTGAACTATTTCCTGCGCATCACGTTATCTTCCCATCTTGCTTTTGCTCTACCTGTCATGCGTTTTCCTCCTGGTTGTCTTAGAAACACTTTCATTGCGGTACGTCTCTCTGACATGGCAGTTATTTTATGTGTGTTGTGAGGGGGGCTTTTTGTTCGTACCTATGTACGGATAAGAGTTTTATATATGGGAAGTTTACTGTCTCTGTGGATGTTTCGGGATCTCATGATAGGTAACGGGGATTTCCGGGGATGGCTACTCGTTTTTATACATTGCTGCCGAGGTAACTAAAGTTATCCACTACTTCGAAGTTGTAGTACCCGATATTTCCGCCTCTTACTGTGAATTAGGAGTTTGGTTTTATCTTCATTGATCCTTAGTCCAACCTCTCTTCCAGCAATTACCTGGATCGTCTGCATTAATCTGCCAAGAATATTAAGGTTATCTTCATATCCCTCCATTTGGATGGACTTGTTCATCAAGGTTGCGTTTAGTATAGATGTGAGTCCGTTTTGTTCTTTTAGCCCGAACGACACTTAAAAAACCCCTAAACAGCTTAGCCCTAAAAAATACAGTGCCTGGTTTGTCGCTCAGCTATTAGTGTGCAAACACATTGTTTCATAGTGCCTGTCATTCTCCAATTATTCTTCAATATAGTAATTGTTTCGTCTTCAGTAAATTTATTAGTACATTTTTGTATGATTTATCATTGTAGAGTGGCTTCAATCTTTCTGGCATTTCAAGTCCCTTCCCCAGCTTTCATAAAGCTTTTTTCCATTTATTAGTGCTTTTGTTTTGGTTATATCTTTTTCTACAACTGCCTCGGGAAGAACTTCCTTATCATAACATTCTTGTTTCTGATTTGATTGTTGATCTATGGAGCTCTCAGAGCTTGAGACAAGTCATTACTGTAAATAGGATCCGGAACTGAGTCAAGTGAAGAAAAATCCTTTCCAATATTTGGAGAACTAACATTTTCAAGTTGATATGCGGTACAATGTTTTATCACTAAATACTTTACAAGTACATACCAGATATGGTGCTTCTTGTACTACACAACAGATAGAGTAGTTTTAAGAAGGAGTAAACAGATGACTAAATCAGAGATGCAAAGGCGTTAGAAAAAGCTAACTTTAAAGAGTACTAAGAGAGCAGATAAGTGCAGCATTGTAAAGTTAACTTGTATGGCTGTAGATTTGGTATTGTTGAATGAGAACTGTTAATTTTGTAACAAAATCGATTTGACTTTTTGTCTTGTCAATCATTGTCGAAATTATTAAAACATAACAGTTCGGTTTTTTTCTATAATGCCTGTCAAATTGTTATAAAGTTGGCAAAATTAACAGGGAGTTTTGTTTTATCATGTTTTGAAGTAAATATGTCACATTGACATCGGAGGTGTGTTCCTC